TGCTCAGATCTTTAAGAAAGTCTTTAACCATGATCGGACAAGTACTATTGTTAAGATGTGGAATTGGTATAGCACCTTATGTTTAATAAAAAAAAAAACATGTATCTCTATCAATGGAACTAGCATAAATAAAATGGCAATCTCTGTTGTGCCCAATATCTAACAAAAAAAACTTTCACATATACTTTCAAATGTAAAAAAAGTCAGTGGTTGTTAAGGATATCAACGTACAAAATGAATAAGCAAAACATGCAATCGTGACACTTTTATCCTGCAACAGAATGTTCTAGCAAAGTGTCTTTTGTCTGACAGCTCACTCTTAAAAGACTGATGTGCACTGCCGTCTGCTCTATTCGATCACACTGCTGATGAGTTTTTTTTTCGGCCTTGTGCAGAAAATGATTGAGTCATTTCATTTACGGCTAAGTGGATCTGTCAATACCAGTCAAGACTTCAACGAGCCCAATCCACAATCTGGACAAGTGAAGCGTCGCAAATACTTGAAACGTCTACGTGGTTTTTCGAGTGCATTTTTATGAGCCTGTATTTATAATACTTGTTTTCACAGCTATATTTTGCAAATGCACTCAGCCAACGGTTGTCCCTACCTTTTACGAAGGAATAGCCATAACAGGCAACACAACTGACCCGACAGCTGGTTAAACTTAAGCACTTTCACCTGCTCTTGTCTGTCAGGATTCTCAGATAAATGTGAAAAATGACGACACTTCAATTCAGTTTTCCTCTACCCCCAAAACTGTATGCCGTTTCACTTGGTCACGAACTACAATGGAAGCACAGTTCATGTATGTGAAGAGGTGAGGGGCATTTTTTTTTGTCTGAGCCAAGATTACTGGCACTGTACACAGCACACGGACACTTGTAAAGCTTTCCAGTGACTTAGCTCCCTGCGCGCCACTCCCAGTGAGGTGCCGCCCGGCAACAGATACTGCCCAGGACACAGAATAGATTTTCGTTGCCATTTCATTGCCATTTCAGAAAGGAAAAGGAAACCAACCGGCACTGCGGATTCCCCACTTCCATCTGGGACCACGTGCCCCTAATGCCCAAAGATCTGCGGATCCAGAATTGGACTGCCTCAGTCACCTCAATAGCCACCCCTCAACCTGATTGGACGTCATCCCCGAACCCCGAGGGACTTCCGACGACGACAACTGGAAACATCTTCTTGGTTCTTTGGGTAAAGTCACGTAGAAGGTAAATAATAAAATAATGAAAATAAAACGTAATAAAATAATATAATACAATAACTGGAAACCACAACATATATACTTATGACGGTCATTGCAGGGGGGTCCTAAGGAAAGGAAAAATATATATATACATATACTGTATATATTAAATAAAGTGATGGCCAAGAGCAGGTATGAGGAGTGCCTTTGAAGAATGTGATTTTATGGTGATAAATAACATTCCAATGTGCTTCAAGAAGAACGTTTTTAATCTGTGTGTATCACCAACTGTGGCATGTGGATTTGAACCATCGACCCCCCCCCAAAAAAACCGATGAAACAATATTTAAGAAGTATGCGAAAGAGGCATTCTGAATGCATGCATGCATGATTTGAATTACGCCTGAGAAACAGACATCGGAACACATAGATCATGAAACAATTCCAAACTGGAGACAACATATTCTTGGTTCTTTCGGTAAAGTCACGTAGAAGGGAAACAATAAAATAACAAAAATATAAAACAAAAACATTCTCACGACGTTTCGACTGCAACACAAGCAATCATCATCAGGTGTGAAAAACACAGCAAGAAAATATTGTTTCATCGTTTTTTTTTGGGGGGGGGGGTCGATGGTTCAAATCCACATACCACAGTTGGTATTACACACAGATTAAAAATGTTTTTCTTGAAGAAAATGTTTTTGCTGTCACGAAAGCTTTAAATCAAACTGGACACATTGCGAGAAGGAATGGATGGCCCACGGATGAGAGTGGTGACGGAATGGTAGCTGAAGTACGGTGCAAGGTCAAGAGGATGTCTGCCGCGGAGATGGAGTGACGAGATGCATTGTGGTGTGGCGTCGTGGGAACACGGGATGGCAACATGGGGTGGCCTTCAATCAGCAGTGGATAGAACATGGCTCGTGATCACGATCTCATGGAACGCAGCAGCGTACCGATGCGCGACAGCATGGATGTGCAGTTTATTGGGGATTAGTCAGTAAAGTTACATAAACACTTCTGAGCAGGCAGTATACACTGACACGTGCTTTAAACCACTGTGTACACTGTGCAATTCTGCTGCACTTGTTCGCGATGAACAGGTCCGCTAAACGTGAACAGTCCAGAAGTGAGTCAGTGATGAATGATCGTTGGCCAATGCAAGACGCTTCCATTCCATTTCAAAGTCCGAAGCTCGTGAGAAGACAGAATTGCTCTCAGTGTTTCGAATGCAAACAGTGAACGTCTCAAGTCTGGACAGCAGACGCAAACTTTCAGCGGAGGAATGTGGATGAAAGCAGGAACTGTTGGGAGTTTGATTGAGGATGCAGATTACTGAGCGACACTTTACCTGGAATCGTGAATGGATAGGAACAAACAGGGGGGGGGGGGCAGGGGATGGATTGTGAGGATGAAGACATCCAGAACGGAGAATTGGCTACGTACGGCGCGAAAGAAGTTCAACTTGCATACATGCAACAGAACAGTGGAAGACTGAACTGGGATGAAAAAAAACAAAACTAGCGTGACAAGAGGGGTGACGATTGCGGAGCTGCTCAACATAGCGCTGCAGAGTGAAACGTGAGTCACGCTGCAGCCCCCGACACTCTGCCAAAGACACCCCCCAGACCATCACCCCCACAGTACGCCCCGAGACGCACATTTTTCCATAAGAGCGCACCGTGCCGAACTGGACACACCCATGCCCCCAACATCAGAGTAAGGCATCCGCGCGGTGTAGCCTGTAGCAACACACGGCTATGGAAGCCTATGTTTGATTAAATGCTAACACACGGTGATACTACGATGGAATTATTTGACCACACACACGCGCTCGCTCGCACGCATTCAGCTATAGCCTAGACTCCCAAGAACGCAGGTGAAATGCCACGTCAATCAATAGCATGCTGGCAACGCTGGTATGCTGAGAACAAATATCACATACTGTCAGTCTATAGCAGGCGAAGTGCTGCGACAGTCCATAGCACACATATACGTGGGTGCTATGTCAGCATGCTTTTCACGGGAATTCTGACAGTGGTTGCAAGCGGACGCGATGCAGTGGGTCCGTCTTACACACAGAAAGGTGTAAAACGCGCTCAGCCTTTGTACATTATGCACACACCATCAACATTTATTTCAGAAGTGCACTGTGGTGCAAGAGACAGAGCAAACGTGGACCGAGGTGTAGTTTTAGTCACCAATGCTCACTGCTGCAAAGTGTGCCTCTGAAACTATATATGCGGAACATATTTGAATGGTCGGTCTAAAGAAGGCATCTGCAGAGTCAGGCTATGATTCCACGCAGGGGAAATGCCATATAAGTACATAACCCACACACGCGTTAGCAATCTACAATCTTATATCTTGCAGGTGTGCGTCTGTGTCAGTTATCTCATCCTCATCATCATCAGCCACGATCAATCCACTGCTGGATAAAGGAACTCCCAAAGCCACCGCTATTTGTCCCACGGACATGCGATGTTATCTCCTCGATGTGTGTCGATATCTCCCATTTGTGTCTGTACAACAGTCTAGATCTCAGGTGTACCACTGCATCTTCCAGGTGTGTCTATCTCAGGTGTCCCACTGCATCTTCCAGGTGTGTCTCTATCTCAGGTGTACCACTGCATCTCCCAGGTGTGTCTATCTCAGGTGTCCCACTGCATCTTCCAGGTGTGTCTCCATCTGAGGTGTACCACTGCATCTCCCAGGTGTGTCTCTATCTCAGGTGCACCACTGCATCTCCCAGGTATGTCTCGATCGCAGGTGTCCCACTGCATCTCCCAGGTATGTCTCGATCTCAGGTGTCCCACTGCATCTCCCAGGTATGTCTCGATCTCAGGTGTACCACTGCATCTCCCAGGTATGTCTCTATCTCAGGTGCACCACTGCATCTCCCAGGTATGTCTCGATCTCAGGTGCCCCACTGCATCTTCCAGGTGTGTCTCCATCTCAGGTGTACCACTGCATCTCCCAGGTGTGTCTCTATCTCAGGTGCACCACTGCATCTCCCAGGTATGTCTCGATCTCAGGTGTCCCACTGCATCTCCCAGGTGTGTCTATCTCAGGTGTACCACTGCATCTTCCAGGTGTGTCTCTATCTCAGGTGTACCACTGCATCTCCCAGGTGTGTCTATCTCAGGTGTACCACTGCATCTTCCAGGTGTGTCTATCTCAGGTGTACCACTGCATCTTCCAGGTGTGTCTCCATCTGAGGTGTACCACTGCATCTCCCAGGTGTGTCTCTATCCCCCGAGTGCGTCTCTATCTCGCAGGTCTGTCGCTATCTGCTCCACTCAGTGTCTGCACTCAGTGCAGGCATGTGGCTGCTGTCCTGCGTGTGCGTGCGCTACACTGCGTGTGTCCCGTGCTCTGTGTGTGGATGCTGTTCTTGCAGGTGTGTGTGTCTGCTGCCCTGGATATCTGCCTGCTCTCCCTGTGTGTGTGTCTGCTGCCCTGTATATCTGCTCTCCCTGTGTGTGTCTGCTGCCCTGTATATCTGCCTGCTCTCCCTGTGTGTGTCTGCTGCCCTGTATATCTGCTCTCCCTGTGTGTGTGTGTCTGCTGCCCTGTATATCTGCTCTCCCTGTGTGTGTGTCTGCTGCCCTGTATATCTGCTCTCCCTGTGTGTGTGTCTGCTGCCCTGTATATCTGCTCTCCCTGTGTGTGTGTCTGCTGCCCTGTATATCTGCTCTCCTTGTGTGTCTGCTGCCCTGTGTGTGCCTGCTGCACCTGTGTGTGTGTCTGTGTACGTGCTACCCGGCGCAGGTGTGCGGCGTGCAGTGCGCGCCCGCCACTCACACGCTCCGATCGATGGGATTCAGCTGCCGGTGCAGCGCCACGGAGAACCCGAAGAGGCTGCCCGAGTCGCCCTCCTTCACCACGGCAAGGCGCGTGTCCACGTTGAACGCGGCGGCCAGCGGCAGCAGCAGCAGCAGCGCGGACAGCGACGGGAGGGCGGCCATGGAGCAGACACCAGGAGGACGAGGATGATGATGAGGAGGGAGGAGGATGACGAAGAGAGGCTAGTGAGCCCGGAGCAGCTGTCCCGCGGGCTGTCCGGCTGTGTGTCTCCGCCCGTGGCGCTGTGACCGGGCTCGGTGGGAGGCTGTTCTCGCCCCGCCTCCACCGAGGCTCCCGTTCACGGCGTCACCACCGCAACCACCACACAACCACCCTCATTCACCACTCCTTCCCGGTGTCGCCATGGATGCGTCGTATCTTCCCCCCCCCACCACCACCACCATCACCACCCATCACCACCTACCCATCCACCGCCCCCGCATAAACATCAACCACCCGTCGTCATCTGTCGCACTCACTCACTGCCCCTCGCAGTGTCTGCTTGCCCGTGCCCAGCTGCTTGCTCTCACGTCGTAGCGCGGTGGCGCTGAGCTCCCCCCGAGGGCATGAGTCCACTGCAGATTCAGAGTTGGACGGTGAAGAAGGGAAGGAAGTGGTGGGGGGGGGGGGAGATCGACGGATTGTCTAAGGGATTAGCGCCCTGAGCCGGCAACCGCATCGGTTCACCCGAGTTCGAATCCGGGCCGCGACTGCTTCCCCGTGTGATGGAACTGGGATCTCGAGTGGAACTCGGTGATTGATGATCGAGAGGTCGCGACCGACTCCTTACCGCGTGCCCTTCTCGAACGCGGAGTGATGTCCTCGCTCTCTGCGAGAGATCGGAACGGACCCCTCCGTGGCATCATGAGTCGGAGAGGGATAGAAAAGAAAGTCAACGATTCGCTAGAGGGGTGAGGGTTAAAAGATACCGTAGCGTATTGAGTTTTTTGTTGTGTGCATCGTATTGAACGTGCACCCACGTGCGAACACACATTGCCATGGCGAATGTAACCACGCACATTTTAGTAATGGTCAGATGGCCGGGCTCGGAAAGAAAGCGTGAAGGGCAGTGGCTGTCCACGTGGAGGCGAGGACATGGGGATGAGGATGCTGAGCGCATGGGTGGCTCTCTTCGAGCGCATATACATTCCTTGTGTGGGGGGTTTATTTATCCATACTTCACCACTGCGGACGAGTGCGGGTTGAAGGGCGAACAGCTGCTGCACAACCCTCTGCTGTCCACAACGTAGCACCGTAGCAACCTATAACAGCTGTTACGCATATGGCTCTAGTGGTATTCACAGCTGAAGAGCAAGGCTGTCTATTTGAATGAAGATCGGTGCATGAGAGTTAATATTGGGAATTCCAGGATCACATTATCTGGATGCAGTGGTAGGTTGAATCAAGTGCAACTTAAGTCTAGATTTGAAGCTTTCGTGACTGCAAGGATTCATACTTTAAGGTTTTTTCGGTAAAGTCACGTAGGTAAAAAATAGTAAAATAATAATGAAGGATTTATTTATTAGCATTTATTATTTTATTATTTTTTACCTACGTGACTTTACCGAAAAAACCCAAGAGTATGCAACTTAAGTATCTATTAGTTATATCGGTCTACATCAGTGCAAATTAAGTGTAGTTGAGGTGCATTATGCCATAGGCCAAACGGAATTGCGCAGTCATTAGAGATGCGGGGAAGTGGTGGCTCAGTGGTGCCAGAAAGATGTGCATTACTTGATCATATTGGCACAAGACAGAAGTGGAAACAAATGACGAACTCTGCTTTGGACACTGACGGTGCTACCTTGCCCATGGATCACGACGATGATGCAGTCGAATGCGATTTTATTTAGCGAATGCTTTTACACAGAGCACAAGTTACACAAAACAAGTAATACTGGTAGGAACCTCCTGGCTACACCAGCCCACGCGGGATTATTGTGTCCGTCCGTCGTGCATCCAAAAATGGGAGGGGTGGGGCTTGGTGGAGAGGGGAGGGTGGGGATGGGCTGGGTGGGGAGGGTGGGGAGGGGCTGGGTGGGGAGGGTGGGGCTGGGTGTGGGGTGTGAGAGGTGGGGCTGGGTGGGGAGAGGCTGGTCACCCCGTGGTGCCCTTATAAAACTCAACGTTTAACCTACTCACGCCGGCTTGTGCCCGCCCTCACAGTCGGGCATATTTGCGGAATACACCACGCCGCCGTTGACCCTGGCCATTGACCGAGCAACCCAACGTTCCTACCAGCTCCCTCCGCAGGAATGTGTTTAAATGCACACAAATGTATGTCAACGTGAAGCGTGAGCGGACGTCACCCCACGTAGCCCACAAGAGACGTTGGCTCCACGTGTGACAGAAGCCTCCTTCAGCACGAGCGGAACAACAAAACTGCGCCCCGCCTCCTTGCTCCCCTCATTCACACACCCTGGGGTGGGGGGGGGCTTGTCGCCGCCGTAGTACGCCTCGACCATCGACGTTTGGGAAGCGGCCACCCATAACGTGCAACAGACCACGTGGTTCACTCTTGATTTGAAGCTTTCGTGGCTGCAGGAATCCATACTCTTTCTAGATTTCAAGCACTTTATGCAGCAAATCTGGCTGTGACGGTCCCACCTGATGACGGAGACTTGTGTTGCCTCCGAAACGTCGTGAGATTATTATTTTATTTTTATAAATTTTAATTTCATTTTTTTACCTACGTGACTTTACCGAAAGAACTAAGAGTATGAATCCATACTCTTTGGTTATTTCGGTAAAGTCACGGAGGTAGAAAAACTTCAGCAGTTTATTTTCTTGCTGTGGTTGTCCCACCTGATGACGATTGCTTGTGTTGCGATCGAAACGTCGTGATCTATTATTTTTCTACTTACGTGACTTTAGGGGCCGTCCATAAATGACGTCACGCACCTGGGGTGGGGTGGTCAGACATTTGTGACGATGTGTGACAAGGGGGGGGGGGGGGGGGGGTTGAGAAATGTGACGTCACATTAAAATGTGCAACTTTAAATTAATTTAAACAACACGTTCTACTTAATTAAATAGACTTTCTAATAAATGTTTTCTCCTACAACATCAGAGTGCAGCGCCACATTAAATACGCACTACAATGACAATAGTTTAAAGCGATTTGAAGCATGTTTTATTTGGGGGGGGAGGGGTAGAGCTTTATGACGTCATATTTGAGGGGGGGTCTGACTTTTTGTGACGCCGTGTGACGATGGGGGGGGGGAGTCAAAAATCGTCCAAAATCGCGTGACGTCATTTATGGACGGCCCCAAAGAACCAAAGAGTATAAACCACGTGGTGGTTGGGTTGCACGTGGAGTCGAGAACAGGTGGCGCCCACGTGACCACCCCCCCCAAACACCCCCCCCCTCACACTCTCACGCGCCAGGTGTCACGTGACGGCCGTCTTAGGGAAAAAGGGGGTGGGGGCGCTATTGCCCCCACTCCCCCCTCCCCCTCTCAACCCAGATCGAGCCAATCAGATGTCGCGCTGGCGGTCACGTGGCATTCTCGGTCCCGGAAGCGGTTGGAGCAGCAGCAGTAGCAGCAGGAGAAGAAGAAGAGGCGGCCATGCTGTCGGCTCTGCTGCGGGAGCACCAGGCGGGCCAGGCGGCGCGCAGAGAGGCGCAGGGTAACTTCCCCGGAGATAACAACACGGGGGTAACTGAGACACAGCAGGGTTAACCCGGGCAACTAGGAGCGTTACTCGCATCACGAACTCCCCCCCCCACACACACTCCCCCTCCCGGTAACCGGCGACGCCGGTCTCGTTCCGGGCACCCAAAGGACGGACTCACCCCCCCCCCCCCCAATGTCTGTCTTTGGTCAATTGCCGAACCCTGCCAACGTAGAGATCGAGACGTGTGCTGGGCTAGAGATAGAACGGCAGTGGTTAGTGCTGCATGGCGTGACCGCGAGAGATGTGGTGGGGGGGGTCCATCTAGCAGTGGATTGACCATGGCTGATGTGGTTCAGACGTGTTGCGGATTGGCCGTGCTGAGGAAATGCTCAAGACTTGTCCAGCCAAAGTGCCCATCAGTAGATGCTTACTGCGCCAGCATTGTGCCGCATTGAGCCAGCAATAATGCCTGCTATGGTTTTAACACGGTCAGTAAATGTAATTTTGCCCGCCGCATGGATAATAATTAACTGGAATTACAACAACCATAGAAGTATCTCCCCCCACCACGCTCACAGTTGCACGTGATCGAACGATGACTATCGCATCTGCCCACCTTGGCCCTCGCATGTCACTCACTCTGTTCTCCTCCACGCACTCTGCTCCAGTAACCCAAGACCCTGCTGTGGAAGGCCCACCACCATCAACTCGTTTAGTGGGAGAACCACAGTTCAAGCCCAGACTCTTTTAAAACTTTGCTTGACTGTCTCTATAACAATGTTACATGCAGCGTCGTGAGATGTGGTTGAATTCACACGCTGTGTCAATACAACTTATTTCGTGAATAGTTTGGTTCAAGGTTCATCTCAACCTCGGAGAAGGAGTCGAGCATTACGCACGTGTATGTTGTGTAATACTTCACATGATATATGAGTTTGGCAAGTGCAACTAATGTTTGGCAGCTGGTGCACAGTAAATGCCTTATAATCATGCCTCCAAATCTTTTCACATTTTGTAGAGTTGTCCCTGTTTTTATACTATGGCACGTTAACTACAGGCAAACCGTTGAAATTGCATACTGTAGCTGTAGTGGCAGTCAGTCCTCCACTCTCCTTATCTTAGCTGGAGGCACCCTCAAGTCCTGAGTGGCTGACTTGGCCGGTAGATGTTACGGTATTTCAACCAAACCCGACTGTACTGTGACCTCGCATGCTGGGATGCCTTGTGCCCTAATGGCCCATTTGACTTCGTGATATAAGGAGCTACAGTACTCGCAAGGACGAATGGGCACATTTTAACGCGATATTGTGTACGCATAAGATGTTAAAGTCCTAGGTTATATTGTAAAAAAATTACAAAATAACAAAGCCGAATGCTGGATATTGTCATTGTGCAATTTTTTGTGCAATTTCCCTACAGAGCATAGAAAAAAAGAGGCTGTGGCAGCAGCTATGCGTGTTGCGGATGCTATGGTTGATCAGCTTAATGTTGGGTAAGTGGCCAAGATGTTGTGACTTTTTACTGAACTGTCACACTTTTCCACAACGCGAATAGTGTGAATGTATGTCAATCTAATTTGTTCAATTTGATCTTCAGTCAATGTATCTTACGTCTCATTTTTCCTTTGTTGCAAACAGTGCATTGTGTTGTAAATAATGTATTTGCATATTCGTTTTAAAGTGCATTGAATTTCATTTTCATTGAGGTTTTTCATGGTCAGGACTATTGTTCAACAAAGTTATTATCAACAACTGGTGCAGTGACTTGAGTGCAATAATTTTGGCACTGGGTATATTATTAAGGGGGTTTGACATTCTTGGAGCGAATAAACGTTTCTGTGCATTTGGGCGTGAAATAACTTACGTCTGCCATCTCTCAACCGACATATAAAAACAAGTTTGCACTTTGTCTAAGTGCAGTTTCTACTGTTGTAAAGCGTATGACATTTAATAATCTGTTCTCCTCTGCATGCCTACCTGGGCTGCTGGGCCTGTCACTTGAACAGATGCCAATTACTGAGCTTTTGGGCAAGTACAATTCATTGATTAAAATCGATTGTAACATTTAGTTGAATGAAATCAATGAGACTGAACCCATGAGAAACAATACAAATGAGAAAGTGAAAATAAGCCAAAATATTAATGATAGAATTTGTGACCCTATGACTTTTGTGGTGGGGTTTGAGGATGATTGTTTAAAAGCCTAATGTTTATAATAATTTTCATGAAAATTTGTGGTTACTGCTGTTACTAGTTGCTTATGGAGATTAATGTATCAACTTAATATTTGACTCACGACTGGCATGTTGATGATAATAGGTTGTTTTTAATCTGATGTAATTCTATTGAAAATGAATTATGGAAATTGTCAAGGCCCTCTTCTCCAGTGACATTTCAGTCATGAATCACAATGGCTTTGTCAGTGAGAACACTTGCTTACTAGGAGGAGGAGGAAACGTTTTGTCCGTGGCAACTTCCTCATATGCTAGCATTGTGGCTCTGTTGAGAAAGTGCATCGCAGTTGGGAAGTTGCGAGTTAATTACTATTCAGGAGGACGTCAACACTGGTGGACATTTTCATAGAGTTTCCACCACCATAGGAATGTGGAATTCACAGCACTGGAGATGAGCAGCTCAATGGTCGTTTGAGCACTTTGATTTGATGTTATATTTTGGTCGTTTGAGCACTTAGACTTGACATTATATTTTTATGGATTTGGCTGACTTGTTCGTTACAACAAAGATCATATATAATTTAGCTAAAGAGCTTAGGGCAGCACTGGAAATTGTATTGTTGTGAAGATTACTCAAACATTACCATGATATTGCTTTCCATGCGATTATTGTGTTTCCTTTGCCACCGAAACGTGATTAAAAACATTTCATCTGCTAACAAGACAGTTTCCATGAAGCAATGTAGTGATAAGCATTTGGAATAGATAGAGGAAGTTCTACAGGAAGGGAAAACGGAAATAATTTAGAACGAGCAAGAAAATAAAACTCCAGTTTTATAATATACCGTATAATGCATCATGTATGTAACTAACTCTTGAACCATCAGTCACTTTTTTGTGTTGCTTATTTTATTGTATGTAGGAAAATAAAGTGAAAGTTTGTAGTAGTAGCAGTAAGTGAAATAGTGAGTGTCAGCCAAGCGGCAGAAGGTTACATTTATGATATGTCTGACACCTGTTCACTTTACACATGGAAGCTGCTTCGGGCTTGTTCAGTGGTTTGAGGTAATCTGTCTGGGAATGTAGAACACTAATATTGTAATTGCTACTGCATGGCCATTGTACAATTCATCCTATATATACTGCAGTTTACTGCACATTGATATAATCTCTTTGGCATTTTCTCTCACCACTTTATGCTGGTAATGTCCATGTTATGTTTTTTCCCTCAATATAATTTATTTATTATAATATTTTGAATGTAAATACATGTTTAGTAATTTACTATGTTTACATTGCATGTTTGGATTTACTTGGTGCTATTGTATAAGTCATCAGAACATTGTTGAGTGAACAGATTTACGTGTATTTCAAAAGTCTGTTAGGCTTAGGGATGATGTCTGCACATAACAAAGATTCTCTATGGCCTAACTCTTTCGTGATGCCATACAGGACTGTTATTAAAATATTTACTGACAATGGTGCACAATTTTATCGGAAATTAGTTTGAGTTGAATTGTTACATGGATTATCCCCTTGAGCCAGTTGCCTGGAAATGTGTGAGCTATTGTAGATGTCTGCTAACGGATTGTTACAAATCTCACTTCACTTGGCGAAAGCCAAACAAATGATCTCTTCTGTCCCAGACCAAGCTTTGATTCACGGCATTATTTTCCATTGTTCAGTAATTTATTTGTGTCACCAACCATTCCACCAGATATCATTTATTACAACTGAAGATGATGTAATTTGTTCATTTATGCTGCTTGATTTTTCAGTTTTGATAATGTTATAATGACATCATATTACGAATGCCTTGCACCAATTGGTTAATAAAAAAAGAGTATACGTTTAAATGAGCAATAGTGCGGTTGCAGCTGCCTGTGGTCTGGTAAAAGACCCCCTTCACATGCCTCCTGTGAGTGTGTTTATAAAGATAACTTGGTTCTACGTTCAATATCCTTGCTGATAATTTGTGAACGTCACTTCCTTCACATGCCTTTGTCAGGGCCACACAGGAGTTATCGCAACATATACAGAATAACTAAAACGTTGCAATTTGACACAAACTAATACGTAATGATCACATAAGTGGAATATGTAGCTCATTGGTGTAAGCAGATATTGCCATAGAAAGAATATGAAGTAAAATGTATTTTACATGAATAAATTGTTATAAAAGTGCTTCCTTATTTCAAGAGTACAGTTACGAACATGGAAGTTAGGTCTCGGGGTTCACTAATTATTTACTTCTACTTTGGATGAGGCAAACGCCTGTGTTTGCTTTTGTTTTAGCATATTTAGCCAAACAGAAGAAAAAAGGGAGACCAGATACATTGTTTTTGAGCACGGATCACTATAATCACATGATCTCTATGGTCCACGATAGAGGAGCAGTGGAAAAAGAGGTGCATAGGGGCCATGGATGGCAGCTGCCATGGCAACAACATCAACAACCCCATCCATGGCAATGGAGAGAGGAGACAGACACGGGGAGAAATACGGATATATACAGAGAGAGCAAGGCGGAGGGCGAAGGACAGACTTGCCAATTTATTATTGAAAAATATGCATTCAAAGTAAAAAAAATCTGCTTTGATTGAGGTTGCGCAATGCCTACCAAAGGCAGTTTAACACGTAGGCTTTTGCGACCAGATTGCGTTATTTATAAATGTGTCGCAACCCTCCACCACCCGACATGGCCAATCAGTAAAAAAAGTGTCATGTTGACAATACAAATAGTTCACTACTTTAGCCCACCGGTGTGTTGAAGAGTGGATCCACAACATTTACAATTTTAGTACGACAGTTCACTGGAAATTACATCCAGCATCTTCGAGCGATTTGCCAGATTTGTGAAGCCATCCACCTGCTTCTGGTCTTAAATAGTGCAGGGTGACGTTATCATTTTTGAACCCCATCACGTTTCGAGATCACAGGCAGAGGTGGGGGTGTAACCCCTTCACCTTCAATTAACTACCACTAAACTACGATGCAAAAAACTTATTGAGCTTGTGCCAGAGGCCCCGGGGAGACAGGTGTTTATGACGTCTCCCCAGAGCCAGGAGACTGAATCCTTACCCTTGGGGCTCCTCCAGAAACAACAAAAAGCAACTTCGGATTGCCACGTGGAATGTTCGAACACTCACTGTGGACCGGTACCGCCTGGATCTCCGTGGTATTCAGGAGGTCCGGTGGACCGGCTCTGGCTCTTGCCACCATGAGGGGTGGACAGTCCACTATTCGGGGCAGGAGACTGCCAAGCAACAGGGAGTGTCTCTTCTTCTGAACAAAAGAATGAAGGGGCGTGGGAGCATGGCGGTGAGGCGTGGGAAGCTGTAAGCCCCAGGCTACTTTGGACTCAACTTCCCATCAACCAGAGGCGAGGAGTGGTGGTCGTGGTTACTTATGTCCCCACCGAAGACGAACATCGGTGGAGGGATGCAGGCAAGGCCGATGAGTCATATGCATTCTATGACCTATCACAGGTGCTGGCTAAAGTGGCCCCTCGGGATAGAGTCATCTTGTTGGCTGACTTCAATGCCCAAGTTAGTCATGATGCTAGCGCCTGGTCTGGAATGATTGGAAGACATGGGCCAGATCAGCTCAATAACAACGGTAGGAGGCTGCTAGATTTTTGTGCAGCCCCATGGGCTTGTAATTACCAACACGCTGTTCTGGCATTGGTGCATCCACACAACATCATGGATGCATGCCGGGTCCAAGCAAGAACATTTGCTGGACTACATAGTGACGGAACATCGGATGCGGGCCCATGTCCTTGACACCAGGGCCTACCGTGGAGCTGATCTGCCCACTGACCATCGAATTGTTATCTGTAAGATGCACCTGCCATTCTTCCACTCCGGTGGTGGGTGTACACCCAGGACCCCATTCAAACCCATAGTGGCATGGTCTCAGCTAGCTGATGAAAGTTGCAAGTGAGAATTTCATCATCGCTTGCGGCTGGGGTTGGCATCGTCCCCCACTCCTGATGTTGAGGGGAAATGGGCGAGGTTTAGGACTGTGGCTCATGCAGCTACAATGGCTGCTTTGGGTTCACGGTGCAGACCTCTTCAGAGACCCTGGCTGACAGAGGTGTTCAGGCTGGATGAGAAAAAAGCGACAGGCCCACTCTCATCGTCTACAGCATCCCACGTCAGAGTACGAGGAGGCTTACCGCAGCCTTCGCTTGGGGGTTCGGAGAGCCGTGAGGCGCTGCAAGGATGGTGGGTGGTCGCGGGTTGCTGAGGAGATGGAGTCTACCTCAACGGCAGATCACAAATCGCTCTTTAATTCCTTAAAAAGTAACCTGCAGC